TACAGCTAAAGTTATTTCTATTAATGCTAGTGCTACTACAGCTAAAGCTATTTCTACTAATGCTAATGCAACTACAGCTAATGCTATTTCTACGAATGCTAATGCTACTACAGCTAAAGCTATTTCTACTAATGCTAGTGCTACTACAGCTAATGCTATTTCTACGAATGCTAACGCTACTACAGCTAAAGCTATTTCTACTAATGCTAGTGCTACTACAGCTAAAGCCATTTCTATTAATGCTAATACCAATTCTATTTATACTAGCATTAGTAATGCTAACTTTGTTAATATTAATTCTACTCATGCTAAAACTAATATTGCCAATTCTAATAACTGTACTAATTTAGCTAATGTTATTAATAATGATATTGCCAAATAATGCTAAATCTAGTATTAGTCTTAGTACATAACTTTTTCCTTGTGGTGTTTTACTAAATATGCTTTGTATTTAGCCTCTTTTAACTCAAGTATTATAGCTGTTAGCATGTTGCGAGTTTTACTTTTGTTAGTTTTGCCACTTACACTTATTGCTACTGATCTTTTGCTTCTTTTAGCTAGTTCTTTGATATTTTTACCTTTCAGCTACCATCTCCTCTTAGTTTTTTTTTTAGCTATAATTCTGTTCCTATAGCTTCTGCTCTCTCTGCTTTAACTCAGTTCTAGCTTATTTAGCCAATCTGATCCATTCAGGAACAAACTGATTGTTAGTTAAAAAATATGTATATATTTCCAAAGTAACATCTGCGATTCTGCCAAATGCAGCTGTTTTAAGGCTAAACTCACCAAACGGTCTTTTGGTGAGGTTTAGGCAGAACAGGTGGTAAGCTTTGGTGCAGGTCTTCTTGCCGCACAGAACCAGCTGACCTCCGTCTCTGCAGCGGAAACACTCGTCCTCAGACTTCTTCTTTCCTTCACTTTTTCTCCTCCTATACTTCCTCTTTAACCTCTTTGCTTTTGGCTCGGCTGTTTGCCCGTTCTGTGAACGTCGAAGAACGTCGTTAAAACAGCAAAGATTAATCCTAATAACGGACCACGTTCAGCTGATAAGTGGCGTCTATTAAAGCATTTAATGAGACGACGACAAAGCATCACCTTCGGACGATCTCCCAGAAAACCGCTGCAGTTGGGAGCGCCGCAACGGCAGATGGTCTTCTCGTTTCCTAGGCAGTCGAGGTTGTAGTTAAAGGTCAGCTCGGTGCCTGAAAAGGAAAAATAATAAATGCTTAAAATAAAACATCATCCTGCCAACTGTGTAACTTAAATTTGCTGCAGTTCAAATAAACTTTGACCAAACTACACAAAACGTCTCTGCCAAAGACAAACTGGTTGTTCGTAGAGAGCCAGACTTCAAGTCTTCTTCTCAGAGGTCAATTTGTGCCCAAGAAACATGGAGGTCGATGACAAAAACGACTAATTGGACCTGAAGGTGTTTGGGATCATGGTCCTGTTAGACCCAGTTCAGTCCAAGCCTCAGCTGTTGGACAGATGGGAACCCTTTGGTCTAGAGGAGTTCCTGGTCCACTCAGTGACTGACAGAAGCCCAAACTATCAGACCTCCACCACCGTGCTCACAGCTGGGAGGTGCTGCTTGCTGCAGTGCATTATGGGTAAACATCTGGTTCTGGTCCAGAAGTCTTGTGGCTCCTTCAGATGAAACTTCCAAACCTAAGTTGTGCTGCCATGTTGTTTTTAGAGAAGCCGTCATGACCTTTGACCTGCTGACTGACACTCGTAGAGTCCGAGATGGAGCTCAATTCTCTGCGCACTGCACGGTCTGACCTTCGGGGTGAATCTGCTGAGAAGATTGTCAGCTGTCAAGAGGTTTTCCACTTGTGAATAATTTTTGTTCAGAACGATGGACTAAATGACCTTTGACCCTTCCCAGATTGACGAGCAGCAATAGCTGCTTCTCTGAGGTCATCGCTGAAGACTTTCCGCCTTGGTGTTGTGTGGTACCACGACAAGGTTCAGATGTTTTCGTGCTTGTTGGTTGATGACAGAATCCAGCTGGAATCTAGTTGGACCAAATTAACTTGATTTACGGCTCCGACAGGAAGCTGCACCTTCGTAACCACGGCAGAGGACGGTGAGTTTTCTAACTCTGACTGAAGTTTCAGGTGTTACGACTTGTACCGAAAACCACAGAGACCGTGCAGACCCGAGTACAGTCAGCGCGAGTCGCAGTGAGACTGGACAGTGGAAAAACAGTTCAATGGTTAATGCTCAACTCACCTGCTGGTATGTCGCAGACAGCAAACAGCCCAACTCGAGTGTCTCCGTTAACCGTCCACTTCTGCGTCTCACAGTTGGGCTGACAGCTGTGGTTCATGAAGCGGGAGTAGTTTCCTTTGGGGCCGGCATCGATGATCCGGTCCTTAAATATCAAACGTGAAGAAATACTGAGTGACTTCGTGCCTTCTGAGCTCATGAATGTTTAATAAACCCACAAATACGTTTGTAGTACTGGCTACTGTAGCGTTACAGTCACCTGGTGTGAAACACTCCCAATGCAGTACCAGTCTGCTGTAGCTCCCAGTAGAAACGGCGCTGCTGCCAAAACAGTACCCTGATCCACCGTGGAGCACGGAGAGGATCCGTCATACTGACCTTATCGATGGTGAGCATGTAGAAGTCGGTGATGTTGTTTTCGTGGGCGTACTTGATCCTCGCTCTGCACTCCTCCTCGTCAATCAGCTCTCCGATGTACTCGTTAACAAACTCGCCCTGTTGGAGAAACGGACGTCGTAAACGACCGGAGCTGCCGTAAAGGAAAACAAACGTCTCCTCCCTCGTTACCTTCTTGATGTCCCTCAGGGAGATCAGACCCCAGCCCTTCCCCGGGGTCTTGATGATCTTGGTTTCAGGGTAGAGACGTTTGGTGAAGTCCTGGTTGCAGCAGCGCTCTCCGTTCGGACACACCTGGGGGTGGCACTCGTACTGCAGCATGCGGTTCAGGCACTCCGACTCGAAGCTGCACGGCCGCTCGGCCGGCTTGCAGTTACACTTGGGGATCTCCGAAACGTCCGCCGTGTAGACCTGCACCTTGCCGAAGGGTCTGTTGACCTGGAAAGGGAGCAAACGTAGAAAGGTTTGTGATAAAACAGAACTCACCAAACGTCTGGTTGGTCGAGTTTCAACACCACAAAGATCTCACAGATGCAGTCAGACCTTGATAAATTTGTATGGAGGAGGTTTTCGGCTGTTTTCTTGAGCTTCCTTTGCTTCTCGTTTTATCTTCATTTCCTTAAATCGAGCTTCGGCCTCCAACAGAGCTGAGGACAAAATTCACAACAAAGGTTACAAATTCTTAGTGCAGTAGTTTCATGATCTGTGTGTAAAGTGTCAGACGCGTTTGTAACTCATGTTCTGGTCATAAATTAAACATAAATAAAGAGTGTGTACAGATAAAACTCAAGCCTTGAAGATGTAGAAGCCTCTTTTGTGAAATTACCACTCAGCCTCTGAAAACTTCTGCATTTTTACATTATACTCAGTGTGTGCTCTTGATAACGTGCCGTGATGCTCATCTCGTCGTAGCTTAGCGCTACGTCAGGTGGACTGGCTGCCCGCTTGTATAACGGTAGTGAAACACTGAGATTTAAAGTAACAAACAAGTTTTCTTTCTGGTACATTCAAAACTTTACTTATGAAAGTTTTCACTTTTTTCATAAAAGCATGACTTTACAAACTCCAAACTACATTTTCATAAAATGATGTATATACAAGTGAAATATTAGTCTTATTCCTTGCAACGTTAATTCAAGAAAACACTTTATTTTATTTATTTATTTTTAACCCAAAAACATACGTCAACATCAGTTTTTACATTTTAGCTGTTAATAAATCAAAACATTCAGCTGATTCAGGAGATCCCTGCTGAGACTTTAGGTTTAGTCTTTTTTTTTTTTTTTTAAATCGCTGTAATTTTTTCTAAAACGTCCTTTGAAATCTGCTTCAGCACATTTCTATTGACAACTCTACTAAAGCTAATTGTACTACTGCTAATGCTAGTTTTACTAACACAAACTTTAGCTAGCCTTAGTCTACCCTACTTTTAATAATTAGGTATTTTGACACTTTTAATTTTAAACTAATCTTTGCTGCTTTCTAAAAATACCTGTTTAACTACTTTTACCAAACTATTTGATAGTTTCAGTTTGTGTTGGCTGCTTTAGGCTAAACTTTTGCTTCAGTATTTGTAACTTTTAGCAATCTTTTTTTACTTTTAGCTACTTTTCTTACTTCAACCTTTTAGCTTTTGCTAGTTTCAGCTTCTTCAGTAAAATTAAAAAAAGTTATTCAGAGCTTTATAGTTTCTGTAAAAACGTCCTTTAAACTGATCGTTTGTCCGGTCAGATTTCCAACTAAAACCTAATCCAGACTTAGTCCTAATCTCGTTTTTCCTCTTTAATATTCCGTCCTGAAGTGGCAGCTAAAGTTATAAAACAGGAGTGGGCCTAAATAAAGTTATTGTGTAATTTATGAGTTTAAATGATGAATCCTCACCGCTCTTGAAGACTTTGCCGATACTGGTTCTCTGATATTTGCTGCCCCTGTCCCCTTCCATGTAGGGAAAGACTCGACCCTGGTGAGTCCAGAAGTAATCCCTCGAACCAAAGAAGAAGACGGGAAACTCTCCGATCTCATGTCGGAGTTGCTGAATGTTGGCAGGAATGTTTTTGGGATGGTGGATCTCAGCTGGCCACCATCTGAAAGAAAGAATTTAATCGCATTATTTAATTGGGTTCATCGACACTGGATGGCGGGAAACGGTCGTCAGTTTGTCCTACCGGTACGTCCCCAGTTTAACCCATATAATGTCCCTGTATCTGGGTTTCTTTCCAGCTCGGCAGTCGTTGCAAAACCAGCTTCCATCGGGCATGGCGATGTTCAGGCAGTCTGGGTGAAAAGCTGCAGGACAGGACTCGCAGCACAGCAGCTGTCCACCTGCAAAACAGAGAACTCTGATTAAACGACTGGTTGTGAACGACGGTCTCGTCCGCCCACTGAGGCCGTTTCAGGTTTCAAACCTTTGGAGCAGACGAAACACCAGCTGACATTGACGTGGCTGTGGTGGCTGTAGCCCTTCTTGGCGTTGAAGTGGTTCGTGCAAACGATGGCCGTGCTCGTGATCATCTCGCTTCCAGCGGCCACGCACAAGTCGCCCGCGTGGTACGCTACAGGGCACCGAAGGCAACGCATCAACCGGCCTGCAGAGAGAGGGGTTACACAAAGATGGAACCTGTTTAACAACCTGTCTGAAATATCCAAGCTCAGAACCTCTTGATGTACTTCAGGTCTGAGCCTCACCTTTAGTGGCCCTGGGCTTGGAGCAGGAGCCGTAGTGGCAGGTGAGGCAGGCGTGGAGCGGGCAGCGGAAGCCCTTGTTGTCGAAAATCGTGAGGGGGTTGAGGCGAACGCAGGCGTCGTGGTAAAACTTACCGCAGTGAGGAACATGACAGCGACGGACCTCGCCCTCCGACTGTTTACACATGAAACATTTGTGGGCTCCTGAGGGGAAATAAAACAACCGTCATTTCTGCTGCCATTAGCTGCGGATCAACTGGACCCGTTTCGGCTACTGCTGCTTTTTATTAGTCTTTAATAACTGGAAAAGAGCGATGGGTGTTGTCTCGACCTGTACTGCACTCCTGGCAGAGGAGCTTGTCCGGTTTGAGGGACAGACCCAGGCAGTGGAGGTGAAACGTGCCACAACACTGGCCTTCGCAGGGAACCAGGTCCTCACCGGCCTGCTCACACACCTGCAGAGCAAGAAGAACAAGGGTCAAACTGACGAGCCTCCAACGACCACATATTTCCTGAAACCTTGTGTGCCAAAGCTTTTAACGATGATCTGTCGACGCTCAGAGTACGAGTTGGGGATGACTCTCAGCAACTACCACATAAACCTCAGGTTGTTATCTGTAAAACTGGCTGGGTTGTAGCAAAGGAGGCCATTTTGAATTAGGTTGACGTCAAAGTTAATCAGCTGTGGGCACAAACTAAAACAGACTCAAAATGGAAGAAAATGTGTAAATTTCTGGTTTCAGCCTCACCGAGTTCTGAGTTTGTGACCTGAGTCACGTGACCATTATTTTACTGTCCACATTGTACACATCTTGGCAGCCACCCCCACATTTATGATTTAATCTACATTAGTGCACATAAGAATAAAACCAACTGGAAAAGTGAACAAACTGACAAAGTGCACATTTCTCAACACCTCACAGGCCAAAGATCTTTGATCGTCTCAGATTTTAACGTAGCGAACTACAAAAACAATATTCAACAGTATAAACTTATTTCACGAGATGTTTATTACCGGCCTGGGTTTATATCTTTGACTGTTTAAATGACTCTGAGAATGTTTATTTTAACGTTGGAAACATTAAACCACGTAACGTTATTTAGTTTTTACGACAGCTGCAATGGAGCCTAATGGGTTTTAATTAAACTTTTATTAGCAAATACGGTGGAAAAGTTGTCCCTGTGAATATTAGATTAGCTTTATATCAATGAATGAATAAGAAAATGTGCAGGGTAATTGATAATTCCTTTGTACACTACATAAGTGTGTTTTCAGACAGTGAGGCTCAAGAAATGCTCTGAGCGTGTAAACCATCAGAATCTGTCCATCACTGTGCTGGCTCCCCATGCACGTACCCCCCATCACCCCACCCAGGCGCCTTGCTATGCCCCACTCAATCGAGTGCTTCGAGGAGGGACAGCATCAGGCGATGCAATGGGCCAGGGGTCCTTGTCAGGGTCCAAGTGCTGGGTCAAAGGTCAGGGGTTGGAAGTCAAATTCAGGGTCAAATGTCAGAGGGTTGGATTTATGGCAAGGGGTCCAGCAATAACGGATTTGTTTTTTTTGGTTATAACACAAAATTCATCGTTATCGTCAGAATGCTCTGAAATATCACGATATTATATTTGAGCCATATCATCCGCCTCTACTTGATAGGGTTGTTGCCTCTCAATGAGTAGGTCCCTGGTTCAAATCCCGGCTGGGGACCTTTCTAGGTGGAGTTTGCATGTTCTCTCCGTGCATGTGTGGGTTTTCTCCGGGTACTCCAGTTTCCTCCCACAGACCAAAAACATGCATGTTAGACTGATTGGTAACTCTAAATTGTCTCTAGGTGAGAGAGAGAGACTGATGGTTGTTTGTCTCTGTGTCCCTGTGATGGACTGGAGACCTGTCCAAAGTGTCCTCCAACAGCAATGGCTGGACATGGGCACCAGTGACCCCAAAAGGAAGAAGCGTGTAAAGATAATGGATGGATATTAAATCGTGCCTGACAGATGAACTCCTTCTTCCGTTCGCTCTTCTTCGTCCCGTCCAAGCTGTCGATCGGAGAGTCCGGTCGTTCTTCACTTCCGGAGCCCTGAAGCAAACAGAACCGTTAACATGTTTTTACCTCAACCAGGATTTAAAGTACAAGAACGAGAACAGCAGAAACCCTTGGATGGTTCATGTTCTCTGTGATTTGTGTTAAAAAGCTTTAAAGCTCTTCGTCGTCACCTCTGGGTCAGAACAGGGGGAGGACCGTCTCTTCTTCGCCCTCGAGGCTGCAGCCGGGTTCTCCATGTCTTGTTTCCGTTTCCTCCGACGCTTCGGCTTCTCTGCGTTCAGCTCACCTGTGCACGGTCGAAACGTTTGTTTAGACAATGTGAAGTGATCCAGAACCGATCAGAGAAGAATCGTTCATTTACCGTTATGGGGAGTTTTTGGCTTCCTGGTCCATTTTCTCGTTTCTTTCACGTCGTCATTCTCAGATTTCTTCCTCCTCCTTTTCTTGCTTCCATCTTCTAAAACTGAGGCCTTAGAAAATAAACTTTCATTAAAAGTTAAGAAAAGATGTGAAATGTTCAAGAATTGAACATTTAATATTTTAAAGGCACAGTTGAAGGGAAAAATTAAACATTTTACCAGTTTTTCAGTGGTTTTGCTGGTTTTACGCCTCCTTTTGAGCTGCTGATCCTTGTCCGTCTCGGAGTCTGTCAGTGACCTTTTAGACCTCTTCTTTCGCTCTTTTTTCACTGAAGTTAAAAAGAAAAGCTGTTATCTGAATGTCAACAACAAATCGGTTGATTGATTCACTATGAGAAGGTGCTATTTATAAGACTGAGTTTATTACAGCTCCTCAGACTGACAAAGTCTTTAGGACTAAAGATGAAACGTTTCAACGATTTATTTATTTATACTTTTTGCGTCCGTCCAGAGGACCCGACTTAACTTTGTTAGATTTTTCTACCTGGATTATTGAGCATGCATCAGTTACTTTTTAGAGTTCGGTTCATGAAGGACAGATGTGTTTTCTGTTTAGTAATCTCGTTGATTCATAAACCAACAACTAACAGGTTTTGTAAACCGATATGTTCAGGTTCACTGATGTTTGTTGTCCAGTCGTTTAAGCATCTGAACTGTGGACCCACCTGGGGCTGAAACGTGACGGGACGTTGCTTCCAAACCGTCATCAGTCGAAGACGCTGGCTTCGTTTTATTCTCAAGGTCACAACGTTCATCCAACGATTTCTTCTTCCCTCCCAAATTCGCAGGAAGCCGGCCGTCCTTGCGACTTCTGATCTTCTGGTGTACAATCGGTTCGGCTCGTTTATCTGTTGCAGAATCTGCGAGACTCTGAAAATATAAATAAAAAATAATTCAATAGCTCTGCGATGAAGCATAAAATAAATAAATAAAAGCTAAGCATCACCATGACGGGTTTAAAATCTGTTTTCAAATGATGTTTTATTTTTCTCCCCTCAAAAAGCTCAACATTTTCTGATATAAAGCGTCTGTACTTTATTTTTTTATTAAAATTTGTGAGCTTCTGTTACACAACAAAACTAGAAACATTAAAAAAGCAAAAAGCTAAAACAAGAGAGAACTTTTCACCTGTAAAAATAACTTCAGAAATATTTTGTGATGCTAACTGAACTTTTCAAAGACAAAAAGTGTGTTTTTACTACTTTTTTGTTTAAATTACTTGTAACAACGTTGAATATTCAACGTACTAAATATTATTTTCAGTGCTGCAATTAAAACACTACCGTTTATTATAATTTGGGTTTGGCTTATTCATAAACACCCAAATGTAAAGATAAATTCAAGCATTAATATCTGAGAAGTGTAGGTCAGATTCTTGTCTACCCAGTTACAAACTAACCAGCAAGGAGGAGAGAACTGGATCCAGTCTGGACTCCGTTTCCTCCGTCTTGTCGATCCTTTCTGGTTTCAGCTTCTCCAAGATGTAAGAGTTCAGGTGGGATCCGTTTTCATCGTAAAGAAACCCGAAGTTCTCCACTCGCTTCTCCAGGGAGAGGCCGAGGGCCTCTTTGGCCTGAATGAGGCCCATGTTCCACTGAGCCCGGAGCTTACAGGGCACAGAGGGAGCCGCCTGCACGACAAAACATTCAAAACAACCCAAACACAGAAGAGGCTGCTGAAAGAAACGCACGTATGGTAGAAAATAACCTCCAAGCAACACGATCAACACGAACAAGCGTAAAACAGACGGCGGTAAATTACCTTTCTATGTGTGGCGCTGGAGACCGGCTGTTTGTTGCTCTGGCTGAGCTCCAGGTACTGATCCTCCCCAGTAAACTGCACCATGTTCTTCTCAAAGATGTATCCTCGCTCCGGAGCATCTCCAAAATACTGCACATGGTAAACGGAGCCTAACCTGCTGTTAACTGCAAAATAATCATAAAAAAAATACATAAAAATAAAATAAAAGATGATGCAACAGCCATGGAAGTCATTAGTATTAGTTTCTCCTTCCCTTTTTAACAGTGAGGACAACCCACCCTTCTGTTTTTTCTTGAAGTGACAGTTGGACTCGGGGTCTGTGGTCACCATGCAGGGCCACCAGGGGTAACCAGACACCTTGGTCCAAACCAGATCCCCGACAGAAAACCGGGTCTGTAGAAGAGCCTCTTCTTTAGGCTGCTCCGTCAGTTCGGTCTCCTCCACCTGTTGGAAGAAACCAACGACGGGTCGCTCGGTCAACGAAACAAAACTAAAATTTAAAATAAAATAAAAATCAACTGCTTTGGGAAAGTTTATTTCTTAACATTAAACAACTGATTCTATAAAACGGGATGCCTTGAAGCTCAAAATTAAATCCCCCCCCCACCTAAAAATGGTACATTTACCGGGTAGTAATACAATTGATATACTTATTATGATGTCATGAGTAAAATGTGGGTTTATGAGATTTGTTTTTAAATCCCAACTTGCTAGACATTTTATTTTTTTTTGCATGAGTGACATTTGAAAATAAAAGTTAAACCTTCTCAGCTGCTCCTGTCTGCTCAGGCTCCACAGCAACGACGGAGGAGCAGCAGCTCAGGAGAGGTTTTGTTTTGTGGAGCCTCCCCTTCCTTTTCTTCACGTCCTGTCTCTCGTTGTGCGCAGATAAAGTACCGTCGGCGACAGAGACCAGGCTGGTCCCGTTAGCAGAGGATGGTTCGAACAACGGCTGCTTCACCACCTGGGGAATAGTCACCTTTAACTCGGGTTCGGCGTGAGGCGCGCAGTTGACCTGATGGGTGGCGTTAGTGGCGGGGGCTTCGGCGCCTTTCAGCACAGGAGGCTCTGGAGTACAAAGCTTCGGCAGCGTCTCCTGGTCTCCGTTTAGCACCAGCGAAGTCAGGCCTTTCAGCCTCTCCTGGCCGTGGTTGTTATTGTTGTGGCCGGTCATCTTCTGGAGGACGCCGTCCTGCAGCGTGGCGGCCAGCTGCACCGCAGCTTTGTCCATCAGCAGGGCCGGATCGCTGCCTATGTCCCCGTGGCCTTTCCCTACACTCAAGGACTCGGGTGGCTGCTTCATGCTGACTGGGCTGGCTGGTTCAGGCATTGAAGGCAAGGAGCTACCAATGCTGTCCATCCCATCAAACCCCTCCAGGCTCACAAGGCTGCAGGACAGGAGACACAAACGACTCTTTACAGATTCAAACTGAAAACAGCAGATTCTGCAATTTGAGCATAAGGTTACACGTCCTGCGTCTGAACTTTGCTCTTCAGGAATGTGCAGCGACTCGGTTCAACAGCAGCAACATTTGAGAACAATAATATCATGTTTATGGTGTTTTCTGGACTCAGAATTACTACACACTTTCTTGTTTAAATTACTCATACGACAAACATTCACATTGATTGGGAATAATGTGATAAGACTTTTGGGTTTTGTAAATTTTATAATTTACAAAACAGTTTACTTATAATAAATCTTACCAGCTCTTTCAAAATCATTGATCTTTTTGAAATCTATTTTTGTCTACTTTTGCACCTTTCAGTGTTTAGCTGATGTTCTGTCGCTTTGTCATTTTAGCTACATTTAGGCATCATTCTGCTTCTTTTGGCTTTAGCTTCCTTTTAACTACACTTTAGAGCTAATTTTACTATTTCTACTGATATGTCACTTGTTGCTTTAGTTACCGTTGTACTTCTTCTCTACTCCTTTTATCATTTCAGCTATTAACTATTTCGGTGATTTTTATCTTCTGTTCTGCTTGGAGTAAATTTAATTCAGTTTAAGCAGTCATTCATTTTTAGCCCCATTTGTTATTTAACTCAGTCTTGACTAATTTTGTTAGCATTTTAGGGAATAAAGTGTAGATTATTTGACTTTAATTAAGACGCATTTAATTTTCTTTAACTCTCCTTTTTGGTGTTTTGGTTTTACGTCTTTATTTTTTTACAGTTCATCTTTTTATGAGTATTTAATTTTTATACCTACTTCTTATGTTTACTCCATTACAATGTTTAACATTTTTACAGCTTATTTTAAATGAGTTTGTTCGATTAGTTATTGCATTTTTTTTAAATGTTTTGCTGTTTTAATTTAGTGTAAAACATTACTCCTTGATATGTGAAAGGTGCTTTGTTTGATTTGTTAAAACAAAAACAGTCGTTTACAGTTCAACAATGAACACAAGGTCAAGTTTAGCCCATTTATGATTAAACATATAAAATGAATTGACAGAGAGGCCTTGGCTGCGTTTGTCCTCTTTCCAGCTATTAGATGGGGACTGAGTGTAGGAAAGAGCCAGCCTCCATCACATCAATGCCCAGAGTGGTGCCGAACCGGACAACCCCGGCTACAAGCCGCGGATACCGGTGCAACTACAATTAAATATATATATATTATTATATAATGTGCCACAAGGCTGCAAATCTTAGCTGCAACACAACAAAACGCTTTAAAAAAAGTTTTTAACCGACCAAAACGTCCCACCGGCTGGCTAGTAACTTTAACCATCATGTCATGAAATAAAAAGGCTCCGTCTATCACCTGAAGCGAAAGCCGCGACGAAAAAGAATGGATTTAAGTCACGGAACAAGACTTTCTTTTTACCGGTAGTCAGCCATTAAAGCCGGACTCCAGCAAATAGACAAAGCCGCCACCCACAAACGCTAAATGCAGTGAACCCACGAGCAAGTTGACACGCAAAAACAAACAAAAAGCCACTCTTGTTCATCAGTGCGATTAAGACAACTTATTCGACAACTGTTTCACATATTTAATTAAATTACAGGCGACATGACAGCTTGCTCCAAAAGAGCTAACGCTGCTAGCTAAAGCTAACCACCGAACCATAAAGACCAGTTTGCACATTTTGCCGTTAGCATAGCCAGCTAGCTCGCTAAGATGGAAGCTCGGCCTGAACAAAATGCACTTCCAGAAAAATAATAATAATCTCCGCTAATGTTGCCGCTTTTGTCACATTATATGAGGCGTTTTCTTCGTGTTTACCTGACGAATCTCTTCGGTTTGAAGTTACAAAGGGGAAATGCCCGTAAACATCTTGGAAAGTGGATGAATTGATTTGAGCCGAGTCGAAAAAGCTTGCGGGAAACTCAAACTCCGGGTCCGACCAGCGCGAAAAATACTCACTTCCGATTGGTCGCGAGCGGAGCCGCGAGCACCCAACCGGTCCTTTCAAAAAAAAAAAAAAAAAAAAAAAAAAAAGAAATCCAACCGTAAGACGAGCTCGGTGTCCCTCAGCTTCCTCACAAGTTTCCTTTACTATGTGAAGCAGCGACAGCGCTGTTATTTTAATTTTGTTTATTCTATTTTATGCCTTTTTAGTCGTTTATATATCAACACGTTCAGCTGTGTGACTTAAATTTTTCAAAATCATATTCTTTCGGCTTTTCCCTCTTCAGGCGTCGCCACAGCGAGTCATCCTCCATCTCACTCTGTCCTCTGCATCCTCTGTCCTCACTCTGTCCTCTGCATCCTCTGTCCTCACTCTGTCCTCTGCATCCTCTGTCCTCACTCCATGTCCTAACTGCATCCACTTTGGCCTTCCTCCTTGTCTTTCTCCTGGCAGCTGCATTTCTAACATCCTTCTACCAATATACCCACTGTCCCTCCTCGGGACATGTCCAAACCACTGTCCCTCCTCTGGACATGTCCAAACCATCTCAGTCTGGTCTCTCTAACTTTATCTCCCAGATGTTCAACCTGTGCTGCACCTCTGATGATCTCATTCCTAATTTATCCATCCTTGTCACTCCTAAGGAGAACCTCAACATCTTCATTTCTGCCACTTCCAGTTCTTTCTCCTGTCTTTTTGTCCATGTCTCTGTCTCCAGACCATACAACATAGCTGGTCTCACCACTGTCTTGTAAACCTTTCTTTTGACCTTTGCTGACACTTTTTTGTCACAAATCTCTCCTGAAACTTTTCTCCATCCTGCCTGGATCCTCTTCACCTCTTTACCACACTCCCCATTTCCCTGGACAGTGGACCCCAATTACTTTGTCATTTTGTTTGCTTTTTAATACAAACAATTCAAACTCTTCATTATGTTGTCTTAGTCACTGATGTCCCCAAAAACTTCTCGCATCATTTGTTTTCATAGGACGTTTGAAAAACACCTGATAATTCTGTCCACTCAGAAACATTCGGGGGCTTTTAATTTGTAAGCGCACCGGAAACCTCAACAAGGAAACGCCCATAATCTGACGTCACCAGAAGGCTTTCTTGGGGTCGGTTAACTGTCATGCGCGTAGGAGCTAAGCAAGGACATGACATGAGGCTAAACATTCTACGGGAGAGTTAAATCGTCCGTCGCAGCTTCTTTAAATCGTCACAGACTTTTTGTTTTTAATTTGTTTTTATGCCCCGTTACAGTTACCCGTTAGTCAGAACATCTAGCTCAAACTGGAGCTAGCCAAGCTTACCGTCTAGCTGCTACTAGCTTGTAAGTGAATTAGCAAGCTAATTTAACTGTTTACAGGGTGCGACTTTAGACTCTAAGAGCATGGCGTTAATCCTATTTACGAGGTCCAGAGCACCTTTGATGAAAACCTCCCGGTCCTTGAAGAACGAACTCCGGAAAGGAAAAGGTAAGGCGGTGATTAGTAGTTTTCTTTGACAGGAGAATAATGGCACATTAGCTTGTGTAATTAGCGCATTATTAGCATGTAGACTAGAAGGGACGGGAGTTTTCAGGGTCAGGTACATTACCTGTTAAGGTGACAGTAGGCACTCCGTGGTTTATTCTTCTAAACAACAAATTATCCTTCACAAAGCGTTAATGAAAGGTCTGTCAGCTGAGCGAGAACATAAAGCTGGATTGAGAACATTCTACCTTAACTTTGACCTGGAAGCGCCCCCACCTGCCCTGCTGTGTAACTGGATGCTGTTGCCATGGCAGCATTCTTCTCCCCATGATTCTACAGCGAATGCAACACATCTAGACTTTTTTTTTTTAATTAAGAAACTGATGTATGTATTTGTTGTGCTTTGTATACGGTTGTCCCATCTATTGGAGAGACGTGGGTCTGAGCAGGTTTGTGTTTGGTCCAGCACTGAAGAAGTTCCTCGGACCTGTGACTGGCTTGTTCATTTGGACTTCAGCAGTGGGATTAGCTGTGATGTGGTGTGTTCTTCTGCTGCGCTCAAGTCACATTTTTTACTTGAATTTAAAAAAAACTGTATAGAATTAGAAAACTTTACATTTCCTAAAAGTAAATGATGGTAAATAGTGTACCATTTATCCTTAAAATGTGCACACACACACACACACACAACTGATTCCTCAGAGTGATTAGTTACTAAATAAAAACTAAAATTTAAATCTGTGAGTGAAACACTGGTTCCAGCTTCGCTGCTTCTAAGGATCTCAGTTGTTCAGGATCAGCCAGGAGCTGCTGATTACCTGGTCCTTTGTAGGACCATCTCTGATCTGGAGCATACAGGTGTGGTGGGTTAAACACAATGCCAAGGTGGAGACATATCAGCAATGACTTCATAGATCTGCCTAAGACGGGTCAAAGGTCATATGGAATCCATTGTTCTACAGAGAAAAAGATTACTCACAAGTGGAAGAGAGTTAAGACAGCTGACAATCATTGCTGCGAATTCACCCTAAAGGTCAGACCGTGCAGTGCTCCGAGAAATGAGCTCCATCTCTGTTTAACCTGCTGAGGTCTGCAGAGTCTAGTCATGGCTTGCTTGGAGCATCTTCTTTCTAAAAACAACATGGCAGCACAACTTCAGTTTGGAAAAGTTTCATGTGAAGTACCCCATGACCCAAAATGGAAAAAGCGAGTAAAAAATGGATGGAACCGCAAGACTTCTGGGATAGAACCAGACCAGAGGACAGATGTTTACCCAGAATGCACTGCAGCACAGTTGGAGGAAACCAAGCACAGCATACTGATATAAAAAAAAAAAGTCTAGGTCAAGATTTTATCAGAAATCTGAAAGGTTTTCCTCGAAAGAGGATTATGCAAGACGCTCAGAGATGCAGCAACTTGTGCTGGTGCCATAAATACATCGGACCTATCAGAGATTTGAAATTGCTGCTTGTAGATGATTTACTAATGAGCGCCATGTAATGACATACTCAGTGTGTCTGTACTGAACATATTTTTATTTAAAACGACTATAGATCTTATTTTTTTATTTTGTTTTTTTAAAGGGAAACTCCAGGATGGTTCCTACTTCATCTGCACACCCCTCAGACTCGCCTCTCAGAAGTAAGCCAAATAAATGTCTGTACGCTCTTTCTGGTAACTGACCAGGTTGATTAACAACAAACAGACCAAATTAATTTCTCCATGTGTTATTATCTTTTTACTCAAGAGTTGTTCTTATTATTTCTTGTCCTCTTCAGGCCTGATGGACTCCGACTTGGCAGCTTAGCCCCGGCCTCCTCTGTCCGTCCTTCCCTTCCCTTGTCAGATGAACATGTTGGATCCTTTCAGAACTTGGACCCGCGGCGGCTTCACTGCGCTTTAGCATCAGGGTGCTTCTGGTCCCTGCACCCTGCTGTCACAACAGGAGCCCAGTGGACAATAGCCTCCCCACAAGACCTCCCTGGTGTCAGGTGGATCCACACATCTAGGACAAGATGGGATGACTCGAAAGTCGAGAAGTCTCTGCGCTCCTTAAAAGACAAGAAAAAGCTGGAGGAGGGGGGTCCGGTTTACAGCCCGACGCTGGATTCGGAACCCGTTAGGAGGACGATCCAGCAGCGAGTTGTGGATGAAATCAAACACTACTACCACGGCTTCAGGCTGCTGTGGATTGATACCACCATCGCTGGACGGATGCTGTGGAGGGTCCTGAATGGAAATACTCTGTCCCGCCGGGAGAGGAGACAGGTGAGAATGGAAGGACATGACGAGCTGCGAGATTATTTCTGAAAATTAGTAAAAAAAAAAAAATTGTTTTAAACTCCGTTTAGGTTTAAATAGTGCATGCCTCATTGGTATAATGGATACTGAAATGCTTTCTAATGCCTAATAGGGGCTGAAAAAACCCATCAAGGTTATTTATGTTTTTTTTATTAAGCAAGTCATGGCTAAAAATAAATTAAACCAGATGTAGACATTTAAGAAAACTTGGCCATACTTATTCCAATTTTAGTGTAAACTTCAATTCTACCATTGAGCTCATACCAACAGCTTCTAGTTCAGCATTAGTCTAGATCAAGTGATGCTGAATACACGAACACTCATTTGGACCGATGGTGAGGTCAGGTCGCTGCTACACGCTCAGGAAAACGTCGACTACTGATTCCAGCCCTAGCGCGCATGTGTGAACACTTCCCCTGTCAGGTAAATTAGGTTTTACCAAGAAACCATGCTGAGAGTTTCTAAAAATTTCCATTCGTTTTACTGATGGTGAACTTTTTAAATCCACAAACTCTCAGGATAGTTTCAAGAGAAAACACGGTTCGTCTGAGAGCAGGAGTGTTTTCATGCACGCTCTACGGTTGCAGTCAGTCAGTCGACATTTTCCTGACTCTTAGATTTATAATCTAAAGTAATGTGTAGCAGCGACTCGACCTCATCGACGGTCCAAACAAACACTTGTGCATTCTGAGTTTTGGTTGTAACTGTTGTGCTCTTTTAGTTGAAATGCAAAGACTGCCACACCAGTTGCTATGGAAACGACAGAAGGTTTAACGTCATTTTGTCGTCTCGTCTAAACGGCGTTGCAGCACGAACGTGGACTGTTTTTACAACCAGCATCGTAAAATCTACGTTTCCAGATCGCTCACGGATTGCTAGCGTTTTACTACTTTAGGTTTTACATAGCATTTTTAGCTTTTTTCCTTTTTTCATTCATTCAACCTTTATTTAGACAGGTTAATCCCATTGAGCCTCGGGGACTCTTTTACAAGAGAGACCTGATTTCAACAAAGAAAGCTGTTGTTTTTTTTGTGAGTCTTACTATTCGTTAGCATTTAGCCATTTTAAACTTTTATTTTTGTCAAGTGTTTTGCTTTTTAGCTAGCATTGTTTCTTTTAGTTTTGATACTTTTAGCTAATGTTTTGTTTTATAAATCCAGGCATGAGAGCTGGATTTTAAGAGATCAAATAATTTGATCCCTGTTGTTGCGTAGACAAACGTCCGAAGCTCTACAGCGACTTACAAACGTGTTCTAAAGCAATTTCCTGTTCTAAAAATAAAAGCAGTCATCCTTTAAACACCATGAACTGTGCTACAATAGATGGAGCATGCTAACTGCTGACTGGAGGAGGGAAAGAGCCTCACGGCAGAGCTAAACGCTTCAGGTGACGAGTCTTTCTCCCCCACATCTGCGTCCTTTTAAATGCAGCTCCCTCAGAGCGCATGCTAATTTTGCACCGGTGTCCTTTCACTCACAGTAATCCTCCTATTTTAAAGTTTCACCCCCCCTTCCCTGTTTAATGTGAAGCTGGAGGAGATGCATGTCAATGGGCCTCTGGTCAAAGGCCTTTATGCTCAAGATGGCTTCTCTGGCTGGCTCTGCTTACATGCAGGTAGGAAGCGCAGATTGTGTCCCAGAACGATCAGTTGGATACCATGAAACAGAGGATTCAGCCTCCAGAGTCCAAAATACAAAACATTTGTCAATGTGTGAACACAGGGACTCTGAAAACTCTACAATTGGTGTTTAAAGTAAAAAAGGGTTTGTGTGTGTGTGGTGCTGCTCTCTGCTGGAGGCTGCAGTAAACTACAGCCAGCTGATACAGAGCGACCACCGCAGCCAACATGGTTCTGTTTGTGTCTTTAGTTTCTGAGGACGTGTGCAGACGTCTTCAGGCTGCTGCCCTTCCTGGTCTTCATCATCGTTCCGTTCATGGAGTTCCTTCTTCCCGTCGCTCTGAAACTCTTTCCCAACATGCTGCCGTCCACCTTCGAGACAAAGTCCAAGAAGGTGACGCTTTTTAAAAAATAAATTCTGGTTTTTATTTGTTTCAATCTCAACCACTTCTGTGTAGTTTGTGTAGTTTCAGCTGTTCATGTATCAAAACATTCGGCTCATTCAGCCCATAACGTCTGTGACTTTTAGTTTTTGTAACTAATATTAAATTTTACAAATATTTTGTTTCTTTCAAAGACATAATTGGCAAAAAAAAAATCCTCTTCAGCATTCATGCTGTTTCTGTAGTTTTAGTTTGTTGCTACTGTCCTGCTACTTTTAGCTAATGTTCTGCCTTTTTTAACTTTTAGCCATCGTGCTGCTACCAATACCTAGTGTTTTACTACTTTTAGCTAGCATTTAGTTGTTTAACTTTTAGCTGGTGTTTTGCTTCTTTTGAAATTTAAAATTTCCTACATTTGGCAATGAATTAGCTTTTAGCTAGTATTCTATTTCTTTATTTTTAAGCCTGTTTTTTACTAATAGCTAGCAATTTGCTACGTTTAGCTAGCATTTTTTTTAGGGTTTTACCTTATTTCTTTTAGCTTTAAGCCAGTGTTCTGCTCCGTTTAGCTTTTAGTTAACATTGAGCTTCTTTTAGCTAATGTCTCGCTACTATCTGCTACTTTATTTTAGCTAAAGCTTTCTACCTTTACCATCTAGCAAGACTTTTGGTTGTTGTAGCTTTTAACTGATTTAGTTTTTGTTTAGTGTTTTGCTACTATTAGGAAGCATTTAGTTATTTCAGCTTTTATGCGGTCAGTTTCAGCTTCTTTAGCTAATGTTAGCATTCATTCAGCTCTCAACTGTTGCTTTGGTTTGAAATCCGATGCTGTTTATTTTGCTAAACGTTTTTGTTAGTTTTAAAAAATATCAAAATTATTTTGAGCTCCGAGGCGTTTTCTGATTCAGTTATTTTGGATTTGTTTGTTTTTAGGAGGAGCGGCTGAAAAAGGAGCTGAGGGTCAAACTAGAGATGGCGAAGTTCTTGCAGGACACCATCGAGGAGATCGCTTTGAGGAACAAGGCCGCCAAGAGCGACGTGACCGAGGAGTTCTCCACCTTCTTCCAGAAGGTCTGTGAGCGAAGACCGAGTTAAAACCTAAACTCAAACAAACAGAAATTATTTAAAACACCTGAACGAACAACTTTACGTGTCTTCTTGACTCCTGCAGATCAGAGACTCTGGGGAACGTCCGAGCAACGAGCAGATCATAAAGTTCTCCAAGCTGTTCGAGGACGAGCTCACTCTGGACAACCTGACCCGACCCCAGCTGGTCGCGCTCTGCCGCCTCCTGGAGCTCCAGTCCATCGGGACCAACAACTTCCTGCGCTTTCAGCTCATCATGAAGCTCAGGGCCATCCGAGCGGACGACAAGGTAAACGTATTCTCTCAATCCTGACATTCAGGACATTTATTTTCTTGGACTCAGCCTGAAACCTCTCCGCTTGTTCAGCTGATAGCCGAGGAAGGAGTGGAGAGCCTGAATGTGAACGAGGTGCAGACGGCTTGTCGTGTCAGAGGGATGAGATCTCTCGGAGTCACAGAGGAACGACTCAGAGAGCAACTCAGCCAGGTAACAAATAACTTCTCAGTTTAACTCTGGATCTTCCTAAATGTCCACGTTTGACTTGTCCTGCAGATTTTAACTACTCAATGCTTTCATGTTTCCTTTCGTAGTGGTTGGAGCTGCACCTGAACCAACAGATTCCCACCTCCCTGCTGCTTCTGTCCCGAGCCATGTACCTCCCTGACACCCTGTCTCCTGCCGACCAGCTCAAGACTACGCTGCAGACACTTCCTGAGATGGTGGTATGTTGACGGTAGTACCTAGAACAACCGGTGGGACGCTTTTATTCACTCTAACACAAATAATATCAGTTTAGTTCATACTTTGTCCTCTGTGGAGTAAATGTGCATACTTGATGTGCATTTTTAACTGTGTGGGAGTGATTCTGGTCTTTAGAGGCATGGAGTCAGAGCTTTTGATTCTTCATGATCATAAGATGATGTTGTCTTTGGTAAACTTCATCATCGCCTGCGCTAAGACTGTTAGCTTGTTAAAAATGACAACGGCAGAGTCAGAGGGGAAATCAGGTGTTTGAGTCAGTGATGAAGCTGGCCACCAGCCAACGACCTCGTTACTCTTCTCTCCTCAGACTAAGGAGGCCGAGTTGAAGGCAGCAGAGGTGGAGTTCTCCAAAGTGGACAACAAGACCAAAATAGAGACGATGCTGCAGGAGGAGGCGGCCATACTCCAGGACACGAAGGACAGAGAGCTGGAGAGGCTGGCTGACGCTGCAGAAAAGGCAGCGAAGGTGATCGCCATCTTTTTACCGTTGGTGCCGAGTCTTTGGGAACGTTTACAAAAGATCTGAAGTAGGATAAAAAAAAATAAAAAGTGATAAAAAATGCATTTGGTAAAAAAATAAATAAATAAATAAAAACCTATTTTGGAAGCAGAATCAGAAAAACAAACCACTCCAGCTGGCAGCATGGCTCTAATGTAGCAGAATTTATTAACTGGTAACTCCACTAAAAAATTAACTGGCTGACGTCTAACCGTGTTTGACATCAGTGATTCCTGAACATTTTAGCTCATGACCCACTCAGTAAAACTCAGACTCTTGACTTTATGTACTGCTGGTTACAGGATCAGTCAGAATGACCTCAGGCTGAAGTGTAAAAAAAAAAGTGAAAATACTTTTTGCAGTAAAAGAGATTTGTATAAATTTCGTTATAAGACATCACCTTTGAACGGGTATGTCTTCAGATTTTTTAAACAATCCTTTTAATTTAATTTCCTTTGAAACTGAACATTTTCTATTGCGGGAAATCCCCTTGTGACACTAAGAAGCTTGGGGAATTCCCCTTTTTAAAACCCTGGACAGGAATTCCTGATTACGTCACTTCAGACCCCCCAAAAAAGGTGTTTTCAAACGGACGTGCATCCTCTTTGGAACAGTCATTTAAAACATTTATTTAATTTCTGTAATTTCCTCAAGACGCAGCATTGCAAGCTGTGAATGGGAAAATAGCTCGTGATTTTCCAAAAAGCTCCTCGTCTACTTTGCTTTGATGCAGAGCGCTTTAAACCGTTTCTTCGCTCCTTTTCTGTCGAGTCCGTCGGCAAAAATACTTCTAGACTTGAGCACTGGCCACCTTTGATTAATGTTTTCTTTTCGTTGCTTCCACCTGTCCCAGACGTCCATACGTACCGTTACACCTCTCACAGATGGAGCATTTTGCATTGAATTTGTTTTTATCTGCCATCGTCTGTAGGAGGGCGAGCCTGAACTCGGCGTGGTGAAGCCCATCGAGGCGGAGATGGCGTCGTCCAGTATAACGTCTCATGCAGAGACTCTGAAGGACACAGCTCCTCTTGTAGAAGGACTCAAGGTGACATCTTTACACAGTAACATCCAAAGTTCAGGTGTGAGGAGTGTTTTAGGTTGTTGTAAACATCTGAACGAACCTTTGACTCACTTCTCTCACTTTATTGTGTAAACAGCAGCAGCCTGTTCTGCGCTTCCAGGTTGGCTTTATTATTCCAGTTATTAATCTTATTACTGACACTGTTATTCCTCACAGCCGTTTATCCCTCTAGCTTTTAGAGTCCATGCTTAGAGCTACAAAACTTTAAGCATTGTTTTACAACTTGGTTTGATTCTGTTTTTTTTATTTTTTTTTTACTTTATAGGATGAGGAGATCACCAAAGAAGAGATTGATCTGCTGAGTGACGCCTTTTCAAAGCTGAAGGACCAGAAGAAACTTCTGACTCTGGAGAAAGAGGAGCTGGAGGAGCTGAAGGACGACGTTCAGGAATACAACGAGGTACCTACATTTACCTGGAGAAGAGCAGGACGACTCTCGGCTACTTCCACATGAGATTTTAGCTCAAAATGTGTAAAATGACATGATTGTGTGCGATAGATGTCCTTCTGTGAGCTGAAGTTCGCATCTTTGGCTGTGTTTATGTTCTAGGATCTAGAGGAGATAAAGAGCGAGCTCTCTAAGATGGGTCAAGAAAAGTCTTTGGAGGAGCCGAAGGCCAGTCAGCGTCTGTCTAAGAGGTTGACCCATATGATCAGTCGCATCGACAAGATCATCCTGGAGCTGGAGAAGGATAAGGTGGTCCTGGACGGACCGGTGGACAGTGGAGCCACGCCCCATATTGGGTAAGAGACTTTAGTGTTTTAAACCACATGTCTAAAGGGCCCTGCATAGTCCATCTGAAGCCGCTAAATCGGCTCTCATTGTCACAGTTGCACAATGAAAATGGCGTCAGTTCTCAGAGCAGCTTCGCCCGCTCCTTCTCAACAAGAGGCGTGTTGGTCAATGCAGAAATGCACTCAGACATTAAGCTGCACGACTCTTCAAGCACACTAAATTAGTCAAATGGCCAGAAACTCCTGCATGGAGATTGCCTGCTGAAAAGTGAGGCTTTTTGTTCATGATAGATTTGTGGCCAAACGGCTGCAGAGACGAGTGGAGGCTCTGGTGGGAAGAAAGAAAGCTGTGTGGTGACGATTACTACAGCAGGAGCGTTTCCCAGGAGATCCGTGCCGTGTCTTGTAGACTATGAAAGGTGCGCGTGAAAACAAATGTCCTGCAACCACGTGACCGCGAGTCGACTGTTTGGCCTCGGATCGAGTACACGGGGTCCTTGAGTCTTAACAACCATGAGAAAAGCCTCAATTCAAACATTAGTCTACATTAAAAAATAAAACAAGAAAAAAGCATTTTCTGCAAAAATACAGTTTGAATGCTGAGCTTTGAATGACGGCTGAAATTCACAGAAGCTAAACTTTAGTTGAAGCTAAAAAAAAAAGCTAAACACTAGCTGAAACCAAAGAAGCAAAAGCCATGATTAGCAGAAAGCTAGCTAAAGTAACAATTGTAGCTAAAAGCAAAAGTAGCAAAAGAAAGACCAAAGCTAAAAGTATCAAAAAGCTAATTAAAGCATTGAAAAGGATAGAAGCTAAATATAGCATCAGGTCATTTAAAAATAAGAGTAGCTAAACACTGGCTAACTATCAATAGACTAGCTAAAACTAAAGTTAGTTAAAGGGAGGATAAAAGCTAAAGTATCAAGTGTAAATAAATGCTAAAAGTGACAAAAGGCTGGTTAAAAGCTAAATGCTAGCTAGCATCTGAAAGACTCACTAGGTTAACTAAAGATATAAGAACACTAACTAAAGGCATTAAGTTTATCTAGAATCCAAAAGTATCAAAAGACTAGCTAAAAGCTAAAGTAGCAACGGGTAGCCAAATGCTAAAACTAGCAAACAGCTAGATAAAAGCTGAAAGCAGCACTAGTTGCAGACCAGCATGTAAAAAACAAACTGTTATATGTTGAAGGTTTTAAAGATAATATTTTTGAAAGAACTGTAAAGATTTCAGTGTATTTCTATGAGGAATATATATATTTTAATAAAGCTGAATACTTTAAAAACATAACATTTGTAAGTGACAGCATCGATCTCCTGAATGTGCACCTGTGGTCTCAGTTTGGGTCACACCTAGAATTAGTGAGAGCGCCCCCTGCTGTCGTATGAGGGACAGTGGACCAACAGGACTAACTTAAACCTCAGTGGTGCTGAGCCTGAGCTCAGCCCGGTCCCCTCGGACCTCTCCGCCACTTTACGCCTGGTCAAACCTGGTAACCGTTTCCTGTATACAGTCTTTTTAACACCTTCAGGGAGAACCTGGTCGGCATCGACGAGCTCATCGGCGTCATGCGGCAGATCCAGAACATTCCCGAGGACAAGCTGCACCGGATCGCAGAGGCGCTCGACGACAACAAAGACGGAAAGATAGACATCGATGATGTCATCAAAGTAAGTCAGACAGATACATTTATTTAAGAAGTGATCAGAACTGCATTCTTTAGTGTAAAGTTTCCACATAAATGTTGATAAAACTACACTTGTTTCATGTTGTATTATACACTCGATGTAAAATATGTGACCATTAAGCAGATTTTTTTTTTTTTTTGTGGTGATCTTATTTCTAATTCAACAAGAGTTTAGTTTCTTTCACACACTCCTAAAGTCGTGACTGTCCCGGCGCCTGTGTGGCCAGCTAGTCGCTGACAGATGCAGCTCAGTGAGGTTTTTATTCGGGTTCCATCGCAGCTTTGGAAAATTTATATTAGAAAAATACATGGAAACGTGCGACTTGATCAGTAATCTGTAGCGGTGCAATGTGAGATGTAGACAAAACCTGACCACGTTTTATTAAAATGAGTGAGGAAACCTCAGTCTGAACTGACGCTTCAATTTCAACAGTTTTAACACGACAAAAGTCAAAGAGTAAACATTTTGTCAGCTAAACAAAGTAAGTTTCCGGACGTTTTGTTTGTTTTTCCAGGTGGTGGAACTGATCGACAAAGAGGACATCGACATCGCCACATCGCAGGTGGCGGACATCTTGGCGATGCTTCATAAGGAGGAGAAGCTGATGGAGAAGGAAAAGGCCAAAGAGAAGGTTGAGAAGGAGCAAGCAGCCAAACTCAACAGCTGAGCCCGTTTTACAATCGCAGAATATCGACTCATTTAAAAACCTGAAAGCAGAACCATCTTAAAATGCTCACTATTTAAAAACGTACGTTTAAATGCAGCGTTTGACACAAAGACATGGCTCAGGTTGGAGACGTGTGGTAAACATCAGCATCATTCCACCCAGTTACTTCTCTTCCTTTAGTTTATTCATCCTCCTGCTTTTGTTTTATTTTTCCGAGTGGTATTTAGACTGACGGCTGTCAGCGGAGGCTGCTACCAAAGATGATTTCAGAAGCAACGTAAACCTGAAATAAAATGTTGAATGTGAAATTAGTCCAAGTCTACATACTAAATATACTTTTTGTTTGACATGGTGCTACACAGATGCTTCTAGTCAAGTTTTAAATTTTCTTGCTCCAAGTATCTCACCTGGCTGCCACTGTTAAAATACACAAAACAACAATATATATCAAAATTTCACCTGTAACAACAAAGTACTGGTACTGAAGCTGTTATCTCACTGGGCTGCGAGACCATTTGGTGACTTTTCTGTTGGGGTCGGACTGAATTCTTAACTTTTTGGAAATCGCAGCTTGTTTCAGCGCGAGCTTGATTTTGTCGCCCACGTCGTACCCGCCTCGGCCCGCTTTGGATCCACCTCAGCTGCTTCCATGCTCATGGTTCAGTCTACCAGAATATGGTTTTGAAGTGAAGACTGACCAGTTTTTATTATTCACCTGTCGAAAGGTGGATGTGTTACGTTCGTCTCCATCATAAACTCTTTCTTGTCCTTCCCATAACTTCTGATTTGCTCAAGATAATGTAACAACATTTGATACCACTACCACCACTAGACAGAGCGTCCCATAGTCTTCCTCAGCCCAGCTCTAAGGTTTAAGGTTACACATAATGCTTGTCCGGGCCATTGTTCTAGATTGCGGTGTAATAGTTTGTCGACGGGCGTATAATGTGCCGTGTGTGGTGCCCTTGTTTTAAACATTCATCATCAGTGGACCTGGACATTCAGGGCCGCAGCCTCGGATGTTTTCTCAGTTCTCGACTTACGAAACATTTAGATCTGACAAGGACTCCTTGACGAACGCCGTTCTCCAATAGTTGCATCCACGTGAGATTCTGGCTTCACAAAATGTTTGCAAATATTTTGCGACGCTTGCGCAACAGTCCCATGAATGATGTGCAGTTTAGTCACATCACGTCTCGACTGACTTTCTCCTACCGCAGCTTGGTTTTGTGAGTTGCCGAAGCCGTCGTGCCTTTCGTGCACTTTCTGACTCCTGGAAACTAAATTACAAGAAGCTTGAGATTCTCACAACAACTGTGTGTTTATCCCGAGAAAAGATTCCTCCCAGACATTTTGTTGAACGTGTTCAAAACTTAAAAATTGGAAACCTCCACCAACATTTGAAGACATTCTGGAGACTTCCTCATGAAGACCGTTTGCCAAACAGCCTCCCACAGTTGGAACATGCCGATACCAAAACATTGCAATATTTGTGCAACAGTCCTTTGAATGACGTGCGACTTTTTACTAAATATATTTTACTGAATTGTTTACTAGATTAAATTGTGAACGTGGATGGGTACAAAGTGAACCAAGCAGGACACGATGTGGACGGAGATGGGCAACAATAATGTGCACGGCCAAGAATACAGTTTTACAAGCGGGGCACATAAAAATGCCTTTTTACTTTTTAAGACTGGTCGTTCAGAACCCGACTGTGAGGTTCTCTGAGTGTAAACTCAGAATTCAGAGGCCGTGAGAAAAAATGTCACAATTTTTCCTCAAATTTGTTTCCAACGGTCGCAGCTCAGTGAGACTGAGGTCGAAGCTCGTTTAAGTTTTGTCCTTTTGTAAGATAAAAATAATTAACAGAGACACTGATTGTTTGTTTAGCTGTGGGCGTGTACTGGAGGGAAACCCAGACGGCTTTCCCAGTTCCTTTAAGAGGAACCCCAGACCAGAGAGGATAGAAAGTCCATCCAACCAGTTCTGGTTCTGACCCTGTTGGACACATGCTAAAGATGGTTGGTTTGAGGAATAAAGGTGGATAGTTGTATAGTTTTGGTGAAGCTGCAGATGAACTATTTATAGAACCGGCCTTCAGAAGATGAATATACGGTGGCCTTCTCACGACACCTGCAGTGTTTGTGTGTCAACCAACTGGCTGGACAAATATCGATTTGAGTTATTTTTTTAGATTTTGGGATAAATTTGAGTTAAATACATTTTAGCAGCTCCTATTTTTATGTTTCTTTGCACATCATTCATGAATATCCATTTATAGTTTACGAAACGTATTCTGACGATTCTTTAAAAAAAGGGGGTAAAATTTATAAAAGTAATCCAGGTCGTGATTTAAAACTTTTTATTTCTCCTCAAAAACAGACAGGCTTAAGGTAATTACTAAATTAAATAAAAGTATAATTATTGCCGTCATAAATTAGCTAAATATTTCGTGAACCGGTTTAACAAAACTCAAAGTGATCAATAGACGAGCATCAACAGACCTGATTTAAGATGGCCGCCGCAGCTAATCTGATTGAGACATCTTAGTTTAAAAGGTTGGCGGGTGATATGCATTCCTTCAAGGACTACTGGTGTTTTTTCCACCACTAGAGGTTGATTCTTTTGGAAAACGTACAAAAAGAAACATTTTGTTTGTGTTGGATATTAGAGGAGCGTCTACAGGAAAAACGTTAAATACCAAAATAAATCAGTTTGTGGTGCGCGGCCGCCATTTTTAAACCTAAACTTTCTCTAACTAGTTTTCTAGGAGGAAATGTTTTGGGATTATTTTCTCTTCTGGGTCTGTGATGATGCGACGTCTCTTTGTGTTAAAATGTCTGACAAAGCGTCAGCGTGGCTTCTGTGCTCGTACACAGGAAACTAAATAAAACAAATCGGGAAAAGTTACCGCTCTGCTCTAATAGTTGTAAAATATTTAATTAAAGCTAGTTTGAAATCATAAATAATATCCAGGGTATGGATGTAAAGGTGGAATATACTGGAGCTAGCTTTAAATAAATATGTTTTTATTTATTGGATTGAATTTTCTGTTTATTTAATGTGTAAACGTGACGTTCAGATTTGATGTGACCTCGATTTAAGATTTGAACATGTAACAAGCAGATTCTCTTAAGCACAATTTCTTGTGTTTCTGTAAAATTTATTTACAAAAATGGGATTGTTAGAGTTTAATAAATTGTGAATGATTTGTAATATGTTTTAGTTTTAATTGTTTTCCACCTCATTTCTTATTTAATGTCACCTCACGCATATTTAAACCACCACTCTAAACTTTTTTTTTCTTCATTAAAACTTTTCAGACATCTCATTTCGCATCATTTCAGAGTCCTTCAACATTAAACTGAGCTTATATGAACTCTGCCCTCTGAATAAATCATGACTTGACTTTAAATGATACAACGGCATGCCTTACTAATCGGGTGCCATCTAGTGGTTGAGAATAGTAGTGTTCAATATTTTCAGTCAGAATGAATGAAAACGGTCGTATCTCAGCCAATAATTGGTTTATAAACATGGAAAAAAATCCATAAATACGTCACTTCGGCGTATAAGTCGCAGGGCATGTAAATTATGCAAAAACAACGTAGCCTATACAGCAAAAAATATGGTAGGGGTGCACCAATAAATCGGCCAGATGATTTCCTTAATTTTGGAAGATCGTAGATCGGCTGAAACTTCCATAAGAAACTGATTTTAAACTTCATTTACATTTCACAGCACTACCTCGTGGCCAGTTAAAACAAGTTTGTATTGTTTCTAGGAAATTGATCAAGGGTGTGTTTTTCAATAAAATAAGATTGTAAAATTGAAGGTGCATTGTGACCTTATAACACCTGACGGTGTCGCTTATAAAACTATATTGGAATCGGCAGGTCAGACTTTAAGAAATCGGTGCACCCCTAAAATATACATCAGTGTTTCTCCTACTGTTATACAAAGAGGGGGGGCCCAGAGGGGGGCACCACCCTGAGTGGCTCAGTTTGTAGAGCTGTTGCCGCTCAGCGAGAAGGTCAAATCCCAGCCAGAGGACCTTTCTGGGTGGAGTTTGCATGTTCTCTCCGTGCATGCGTGGGTTTTCTCCGGGTACTCCGGTTTCCTCCCACAGACCAAAAACATGCATGTTAGACTGACTGGTAACTCTAAATTGTCCCTAGGTGTGAGTGAGAGAGAATGATTGTCTCTGGGTTCTTGTGATGGACTGAAGACCAGTCTAGCATGTCTTCCATCTCTCATGCAGTGACCCCGTGACCAATATATGTACCGTATATATGTATATTCATATATGTATACATACATACACACACACGCACGGCAACCCCATTTTTGAAGGAATCTTTCCTACACATTGATGCAGCCACACACCAAAATGGAAGTTGGTACTTGGGTTATTTTTCAAGTTATCAAGCTCATAGTACGGACAGACGGATTGAGGGTATTTCCAGTTTCCTTTTCACTCCACGACGAGGGCCCAAGAACTGTTTTATGAAGTGTTAATTAATCCATCTGTCCACTGGGAGCAGAGGAGCACTGATGGTGAAACTACACCGATACCTGCTGCTTGCTCCACCTGTTGTACGGAGAACCGAGACAAGCTGGGGTTAAAACGTAATAAATTATTCCAACCTGCTTCTGAGGGTTTTTTTCTGCCTTTAATGTTTACTGACGGTGCAACTCATTATATAGATAAAACTAAATCTTCAAAAAGTAAAACAACTTTGAACATTTGCTAAATTTCTTTTCACTTCAGAAGTCAGCTCCCATGAAGGGTGGGCAAGCATCTCATCTGTGTTAGCAAAATATCCCATGAACCAGGACAGACTTTAATAAAACCCTCTGGACTCAACCAAACTCAGGAACAATCACAACAACCAAACAAAAATGGCTAAAACTCAGTCGACTTTACAGATACTGAGCTTTGGTGTGGTGGTAGCTGAGAGTCACCCCCAACAGAAACTCTGAACATACAAGGAGGCAGCGATACCTTGATTTTATCTCAAAATATAGAACAAAGAAAAAAGAGCATGTTTTAAAGAGTTTATGGAAAAAATGTAAACAGAATAAAACAATAATTTTTTTAAACAAACTTGATTTGAGTAGTTTACAGTGTGACCACTAGATGGCAGAGATAAACTGATTTTATACACAGAGACAGTTTGTAAATATTTTACCGCCAACATGTGACTCCCTGCAGAGCAGTCACTGTTTCAAGAGACAACACTTGAAACTTCCAGGTTTGGTCATTTATTTATTGATTGATTAAAAAAATGATCAGGATATGTGTTTATCAAACATTTTAGATTTCACT